GAAGAATCACTAATGGCGGCACCGGGATCACTGACGCCATTGGCCCTTAAAATATCTCCTGACGCATCTTAGAATTTGTTGCTCCTCGTCAATATCATAGTTGGGAGAGAACTGTCGTTCCACAGCAATAGCGAAAACCGTGGATGTGCGGGAGTGGCTTTCCTTTTCTGAGCGATTTCGCCACTTTCCAGAGGGAGTACTTGAGTCAAGCATCCTCACCAGAAAATCGTTTTATTGCTCTTTGCGGAATTCATGGAGAGCATTGCACTTCATGAACAACATTCGTCGCTCTGCGAATGTCATCTTGATGACAAGACCTTTTCGCTTGCTTAATTGCAGCCGGTTTGTCAGAAATTTTCTGACGAATGTCTGCAGGGAAAAAAGGTCTGCCGTGTTGTTGTACAGGAAGTACAGCTGCACGCTGCTGAGCTTGCTGTATGAAGCTTATCCACTGCGCATATTGGGGAACTCTCTGAGAAACAACTTGTATAGTACCCAATCAACCCATTTCCTTGGACAGGTGACCTCTTCCAAGGTTTGCCCAGTACCCACTTCCAGTACCACAGGAAGATGGTCGCTAGAAATGTCTTACATGATTCGAGAAGTGATACTGTATCTACGGTTTCTAGATATTGCAAAGTCGATGACATCTGGTGCCTGAAGGTGATTAAATGGGTGGTGCGTGGGCTCTTCAGTACTGTGTATGAGGTAGCCGTTTCGTATAACATGGTTGTACAGTCGAATCCCACTGGTGGAATTCAACCTAGAAAACCATGCTGTGTGTTTGCAGTTGAAGTCCCCCGCTACAACAAGCGGACCAGAGTAGTCCATAAGGACTTCCAGGTCCGCCTCCTGCAGGCTGGCACCATACCTGACATACACCGATTTGATCTTCAACAGGACACCTCCTGTCATATCACAGCAACTTACCAAATAAAAAGCGAACTTCGAGAGAAACCAGTTGATATAGGCAACCTTGTCCGGTATTCACTCTGTATGCGCTATGTGAGAACATATCCTGAAAGAAGGTCCTCTCTTTGTTGTAAGTGTTTCAATATAGGGATGCCGTTATGTTAGCAGCTCGGTCGGTCCTCACTTTGTCCTATACACAAGTCTTAAATTCAAAATAGTTTTTCCCTTGTATACTCGCCACTTTTAGATATAACAATGGCGTGCTACCAGATCATGCCTAAAATCACATTTGTAGGCCAAATATATATATAGAGGGTGGCCCTTCCTCGTATTTACGAATTAAGCTCCTGATCCTTCCAACCTCGTTATCATCCCAACATATACTCATGTTGTAGTTTTTTTTACCTGCTGCATTTTCCTAACCCAGTTCTGGTCTGAACCTTTATACATTATTTATCAAGACCCAGTCGTAGCCACTTGAATGCATATTTAGGCTAGACGGCCTTGCCTGGATATCATTTGTTAGGACTGACTCCCCGGTAACATTATCTGACACTAACTCGTTTCATCACTTACAGCCGCTTTTTTAGAAGCCCACATAAAACCCCGCTTGGGGTACTGCTATATAATAATAATACATATATTCTTAACCGGCAGTTTCAAGTCTATTTCACTTCAAATTACAATAGTTTACCAAGTTTTGCTTTCAAAAATTTGTCTCGACAAAAAGATGTTTTGTAGACTAATTCGAGGTTACTGAAAACGAAAATGACTCTCATTTATTTTTCCAATGACCGTTTTCGAGATGCTTGCAACCTATAATATACTAAGTGACATATAAATCCGAACACCCAGTTTAAATGGTTTTATTTTAATAAAAGTTGGTGAATGTATTTATCTTACTGTAAATAACAAGTGAAAAAATTTTCAGCCTTATCAGTTGGACATTCCGGTTTTTATACTGCTTTTTTTTTAATTCACTAACGCTCTAAAAATGAATATTTCAGCCGCAGTAAAGAATCAACGTTGGCGGATTTTGGTTCTTGACATCCTTTACGATCGGTTACGATGCCTTGAGTACGGAGACCTGTACGATTTCGTCAACTTAGTGAGTTTGATAGGAGCCGTATAGTGGGACTTCGGGAAGCTGGACTTTCTTTTCGGGCAATTGCAGTTAGAGTGCAAAGAAGTGTAGACACTGTGGTTAGGTGTTGTCAGGCATGGCTTCGAGAAGGCCGTACGCAAAGAGCAAGGGGCACTGGACGCCGCCGTAGAACAACAGACCGTGAAGATCGCCGCCTAAGATTATTGGCCTTAAGGGACCGTTTCTCCCCTACCAGGTCCATTGCAAATGAATGGTTTGCAGAACACGGAAGACCTATTGGCATGCGAAGTGTTTACCGACGAATGAGAAGTTTTGGCTTGTTTTCATACCGGCCACACTGGGTCCTCCCTTTAACTCGAGAACACCGACATAATCGCCTTGAGTGGTGCAGACAACGGTCACTCTGGGATCAGGAATGGAACAGGTCTTTAGTGACGAGTCTCGATTTTGTTTAGGCATGCACGATGGTCGTGCCAGGGTTAGAAGGCGACGTGGTGAAAGGAGGAATCAACAGTTTTTTGTTGAAAGACATGTTCATCAAACTGTTGGAGTTATGGTTTGGGGTGCTATAGCTTATGGTTCCAGGTCACCTTTAATCTTCATCAGAGGTAACATGAACGTTCAGCGTTATATCCACGAAGTTCTAGAGCCCCATCTTTTACCCTATCTTGACACCCTGGCAGATCCAACTTTCCAACAAGATAATGCCCGACCACATGTTGCAAGATTCACAATAGACTTCTTTCAACATAATGATGTCACATTGTTACCATGGCCACCAAGATCTCCCGACTTATCCCCAATTGAGCACGTGTTGGATATGATGGGTAGGAGATTGCTCAATTTGCAACTTCCTCCTCAGACTCTGGAAGCACTTCGAGAGGAGTTGGTGGTTGCCTGGAATGAGATACCACAGGAGGACATTGACCACCTGATCAGAAGCATGCCTAGGCGCGTTGGAGAATGCGTAGCACATCAGGGTGCATCCACACATTATTAAAGGTCAAAGGGCTTTAAAGTAGTGTAATCATTTTGAAATTTCTATCATTTACTTATTATGCTTCATTAAGTACTTATACAAAATTTTGTTAAAATAAAACCATTTAAACTGGGTGTTCGGATTTATATGTCACTTAGTATATGAATGAGTTGTCTGCTGCACTTGGAGAAGCTTATGATAGGGACGAGTGACATCTATTTATTGATGGTAGTAAGTACAGTGTTGAGGCTGTTTCACTCCGCAAAGGCAACAAGAAACCGTCGATTCTGTAGGATGGCTATACAAAATACAGTTGTTTTTTGTGCCTTTGGTATAGCAGAGCAGATGAAAAACATTTTACTAAACGTGATTGGCAGAAAAGTGTGGAACATGTCGTGGAAAAAAGCAACGTTATCAAGAAAGCACTAGTTGAAAAAAGAAGTTATTTTCTCTCCATTGCATATAAAACTCGGGCTTATGAATAATTTTCTTACTTTACCTGTTATGTGGCAATGATCGCGGACTTTTACATTTCCTCTCAAAAATGGTTTCTCACAAATATTGCATCCTCCTCGATCGATGTTTCTACTCGGTTGAGGGATTTTTGAATTACAATTTTTAATTTCGTTTGTGATTTATGTCTTATGTGCATTTTTTATTGTAAATGTTTGACTTTCTTTTACATTATAGATTCTACAGCCAATTATTTGTCATACATATAATTTTTTATAATATGACAGATAAATTATCAAATTAACACACTAAAAAGCGCGAGTTTATTAGTGTTTTGCGTCTATGCCAAATCTCGGCGTGCTTGCAGCCCAAAGTTACACAGCTCTTGAAATCCGTCGTTACTAAGCCATCAGCAGTCAATCCTGGCAGCGTGACTCGATCGACGCTAGGACGAATCACGGTAACATTTTCCAAGCCAAAAACAGTTGATCAAATCACAAACATGGTACTCACCACTCTGGCACAGCTTGCGGTCAATATTTCGAAGCTCTTTACCACACAATAAGTTTTGTTATTATAGCTGCATTGTCCCACTTTGTTGTAGTTGGGTGACAAATTCAGCAACACATACTTTACTCTACTAAGATATCCAGCCCTGCATCAGCGAACAGCTACAATCTGAGAATTGCCACATTAAGAGCAATAACGGCTCCAAAAAAGCATTTGATGGTACCATCAGAGGCTTTTCGCAAATGCTACCAAATGGGCCACGTCGTGCGACTTCAAAAACTGATCACACCAGCAACAAACGGGGAAAACTTGAGATGGCAGTTGTCACCAGCAGAAAGGGGCAGCCACAAGGCATACTGCCTGCCCATATGAGACAAAACGTCCAAGAACTATTTTTAATTTATACCGAGTCCGATCTCTGTGTTTATCCACCTTACGAATACGCTGTGAACAATCCACCGATGAACATTTCGCGACCGACGGTTTAGTAATAAACACTTAGGGTTCCATCAACTTGATGTAATTGGTTCAAATTATCATGGAATATTCTTTGTAATGCGACCTAATGAAGAAAATAAAGAGAGAACAGACTTTCTTCCTGGCGCGAACATCTTGCAAGGTGGCTGCAACCCTGAGAATTTGTGCTTTGTACCTCGACTAGTAGTCAAGACTAGAATCCTCCACTCGGTCTAAGAGGCCCAGGATTGATCTTAAGGAACACTTGACATCTAACATATGGACATCGAAAGGATCAGGGACTGACGAGTCTCTGCATGAATGCCAAAATCGCCACTTACGCGGGCTATTCCCGTTTATGTAAGGCACACAGGCACTTGAATAGGTCGATACTATGACTGTGACTCGAACGAACAGATAAGCCGCATGTGAATTGTGATTTTGAAATTCATGCAATAGCTCTTCAGACCTTGATCCCTTGATACTAGTATGTTATTCGCAATTAATTTTTTGAACTTGCTTCTTGTCATTTGACGATTTGTACAAGAAACGATTTGCGCCAGACATGTTTTGTTATATACTTACCTAACAGTTGTATAAGCGGATCATTCTTACACCTGAACATTTTGAACAAGTATACTATTCCTGTCATGATTGTCGTAAGTTTCTGTTCAACGTTTCTCAATTCCTGTGTCTTGTCATTAGCTTTCTTTTCGACCGTTTCAAACTCCTGATTCAGCTCCTCTAGTCTGTTACCTTGCTGCCCTTCACGCGTCATGTGTAGCTGCTTTTGTTCATCTATTTCATTATGAAGGGTACCTAGTTCATCGCTGATCTCTTCCATCTCTTTGTTCAAGAAGTTAACGTATTGAAACATGCCAAAGTTCACCTCTTCTTGATCGAGAAACTGCTTGGCGATCTCTCCTATCGTCTCTGTACCAGTGAATGTTTTGATTTCTTCCATGATAGAAAAGTAACGCTCTAGTTGTTCGTCCAATTGTTCTCTGTTTTGTTGTCTTCGCTCAATTTTTTTTTCTTCTAAATCCCTCATTACCTGGTGTAAGATCGTTGACGTTTCACAAAATTATACTTCTCAAAAAAATATGGTATAGAACATTGGATCTTGTACACTGAAAACCAAATACCACTGTCGTCGTAATGTGTACGTAAGAGAAGCGCAAGAAGCATGTGTTATAAAGCTATACATAGAAGCACCGCGCACTCTTTCTAACATACATATTGCAGACTTCTCGCGCTTCTCTCTCATACACATTACGACGTCAGTCAAATTTGAACCTCTCCGTATAGCACTGCATCTGATACTGAATCCTCGAACCAATGATTTTAACCAAGCAGCGTATACATACGAGTTTAGGTATACGAATAACATAACAACTGGCAACATCTATATACTGATCAACAGTTCTTCTACTCTATTTGAGTTGGATCCCGATTTTACCAAAGCGTAGGTTAATAAATGTGCAAAATCAGACATATTCTTAGACACACTACAGGAAGTCAGCATTTTTCAGCATGGATCCCACGAGTTGAGTTTACCTTCTATCGATGATAAATGATTGCCAATTACTGGATTAATCCAGACATTCCACCTAAGTTTTGACCGTTATCATGAAACTTGTTGCATGAGCGAGATATACAAGCCAGAAGTACCAGCCCAAACAGTTTGTTGTCTAAACGTACTTGCTACGTTTTTCGAATAAGCAAAGTGTTCCGATTGCATCGATTAACTTGATAGACATTTCGCGACACATTGTGATACGCCACAACCAAGTACAAACCCTTTTTTGGCCTTTGATGGCAAAAAATTGTTGCAATTTTTCATCATTGTCCCTTTTCCTCTGCATGACACGCATGTCCTGGATATGCGCTAGGAGGTCATTGTGAGCCTTGGATCTTAAGAACTGTAGTTTCGATACCCATTCTTCCCTTTGATCATATGCGATTGTAGCTTGTTCTATCAAATCAAGCATAAACTTCTTACCTAAAATAATAGAAGCATGATACTTAACAAGTTTTCTATTCCAGCTTCTCAGAGGAACGGAAAGAAAAGCCAGCAATAGCACAAGCCCACAAAATAAAAAATTGGTGTGTGCTTGGGGTCCCACTATGTTTTCCCTATGTATTTTTCACGATGAACACCAAAAATTAGGGGTCACTGGACAAACAAGAAGCTTTTTCAGTCATTATATCATACATTTTTAATTTTTGGTAAATGTGCATCTCTTCAGGTGTCTCTGAGAGATGTACATTAGGGTGTCCCAAAAAATAAAAGTTCTTTTTTTCAAACTCATACCCTCTAATTTTGCTTGAGCAATGTCAAAACAATTGTGAATAAGGTTTTAGATACCTAGAACTAGGGCAACTCGTGCCGAGTTACGTTGGAGCATGTCAAAACTTGCATGTTAGGCGAGCGCTAGTTAACGTATTGCAGTGCTCGTTTGTTCTACTAGTAAACGCACTGTTTTCGTTCGGTCAACATATCGAAGGAATTATGCAGTTCTAAAAAGGGAATATTTTAAATAAGGGACGTAAAGCATCAAATTACCGGTTCAAAACTTCCCTGTAATGGGGTAAGTACTACCAGTTTTGTTCTATAATAAGAGAGAAGAGAAATTTAAGTGTCAATGAGACCGTCAACCTTACTATTCGTGAGTCCATTATTTACTGAGAAAATGCACGTATACCGACTAAATATCTACCTAACTGTGTTAAAAAACTACCTTATACCGAGTTTGGAGAGATTTGCAAAAAAATGCAAGCAAAACACAAGTGTTTGAGCAACGTCGAAAAGAGTTTGTATATATACAGGGTGTCCGCAATGTTGGGGTTTTCCTTTTCAGAAACAACTACCCTTGAAATAATAAAGGTAATGTGCAGTGAAACGAGAGCGACCAAGTAAAAAAAAATAAAGGAAAAAGTACTCACTCTCCAGTTTACGAGAAAGGCTAAGTACGTCTCTGCCCGAAATCATACCGCTCCAACAGAAAATGAAATCAGCTGATGCGCTACCAAGCAGACGCAGAAACCACATAGATTGTCTTACACTTAATGGCACATCTTCTAACAAGGAAAGCAAAATAAAATCATCAACCAGTGACTGGATACGGGAGAAGTGCCGACGTTATGGAAAAGATCAGTAATAACACCGCTTCCAAAAGTCGCCGATGTTACAGACTTAAATGACTTGAGGCCACAGACTTAAATGACTTGAGGCCAATAAATGTTTACCTGCTATGTTAAAATTATTGAAAAAACTTGTTCATGACGATCTGCGAGAACATCTAGAAGTGAATAAAAGACTACCTGACACCAAGCCTGGTTTCAGGAAGCTACATAACACGTCGACAGCAGTTATGAAAATTACAAGCGATATAGTAAAATCTATGGATGATGGAATGGTCACACTTTTGGTGATGTTAAACGATAGCAAGGCATTTGACATGGTCAATCACAGTGTTCTATCTAGAAAATTGCAACACTGTGGTTTATCTGGTAACGCCTTGCAATGGCTTATCAACTATCTGACTAACAGATCACAATGTGTAAAAATTTCCGGTAAAATACCTACTTTACGACATGTAAAATCGTGTGTTCCACAAGGAAGTGTTTTAGGTCATATACTGTTTGGTTTCTACACTTCAGATTTGATAGATTGTATAACATCTGATTGGAGTATACATTTCTATGCGGATGATGTACAAATTTATGAAACATATAGACCAGATAACATAAATTCCTTGATAATGGACCTCAATATGAGTTTAAGGATTATAGAAAATTATTCAAGGAATTACTGCTTAAAACTTAACCCCTTCAAAACTAAAGTCTATTGCATTGGTTCTAGGTTGATAGTTTCGAAGTGTAAACAAGCAATTAATACAGATATATTTTTGAAATTGTGGATGAAATAAAAAATTTAGGAATAATGTCAGACACAAATTTATGCTTTGAGGGTAAGTAAACTTAGAATATGTTATTTTAAATACAAATCTCTCTGGAGATACAGGAATTTATTGACAAGTGATATTAGAGCTAGACTTATTAATTCACTAATTCTAACACATCTAGATTATCGAATTACAGATTATTATAATTTTCTGACAGAGGAAATGAAGCAGAAAATCCAAATTCTTCAAAATTGTTGTATAAGGTATTGTCACAGACAAGAGCACATTACTAGATTATATCAGAGAAAATGTTTTAAAATCCCCATATCGCTCATTGCTTTTTCATGCTACCTTGCTTTATAAGATTCTAAAATATAAATCACCTAGGTATTTGTTTAGTGAATTAGAGAAACGCTCATCACTTCGACAAGTATTACTAGCGGCCCATACAACATCTAAATTTAAAAAATGCTTCCTTTACACGGCACTATGTATTCTTAATCATATTTCCAAATTTTTCGAAACATTATCTATCCACCACAACTTTAAAAGCGAATTTAAAAGAATGCTATTACAAGTACCGCTTAAATGCAGGCTCTTCAAAATAAATTGTTCCTAATATGGTTTTTATATAATATAACGTTATGTATACTCAACATTGTTACCCATAATATGTTAAGCTTCACATCTGTAGCTTAGTAGGCTAGGGTGAAAAATGGCATTGCCAACCCCCAGCCTTTTGGGGTATTATGTGTTTTGTATTTATGTTATGTATATACTCCAATGAACATTATTATTGTCATTTAGGTTTTTCGGGCTGTTGGGCCGTGGTCGGGTTGGATTTGATCCAGAGCTTTCGGCTACATCTGTGGAAGCCATCTTCAGTGGCGCTGTCGGCTAGAGCGACGTGCTCTGCTTGGCGGGTCGACTGATCGATTGTAAATGCGGTGTGCTTGTGCGGTCATAAAGCATCTTTTTTCCCTGAGAGGCTTTGGGACAATACTTTCTGTTCGACATCTCTGAAGAAAGGCCAGGGAACCTAACAGGTTTGCTTTCTTCTTCCGCAGACTCTCCAGTTTTCGTACTTCGCGGTAGGAAATAGTGATTCTACGGGCTGAGAAAGGAAACGCCACCGTAGTCCTGAACAAAGTAGACTATCAGACAAAAATAGAAGAACTACTGGACTCTTCCACATATAAAGCCATCCGCAATGACCCAACGCAGAAATTCCTGAGAAAAACCAGTCTACTCATCAAACAGTCGTCGTTACCCCCTGAGTTGGAAAAATCGCTATGTAAGTCAGAAGCCCTTCCACCCAGATTGTACGGTCTACCAAAAATTCACAAGCCATCTGTCCCCGTTAGACCTAATCCTCATTGTCAGTGCGATCGGTTCACCTACTTATGAACTAGCGAAACATCTAACGAACATGCTCCAGCCTCAAATCGGTCACAGCCAGTCGTATGTCAAGGACTCCACCGATTTCATAAGAAAAATACAGAACATCCAGCTCACGCCAGACGACGTTTTGGTCAATTTTTAAGTAGGGTCACTTTTCACAAATGTCCCACTAGACCTATCACTGGATTACCTGAAGCAAGATTTTCCAGAGGATATCATGACCTTGTTCCGACACACCCTAACAACTACATATTTCCTGTGGAATAATCAATTTTATGAACAAACTGACGGCGTCGCAATGGGAAGTCCGCTAAGCCCGGTAATAGTCAATTTCTACATGGAAAAGTTCGAGGAAGCAGCACTGAACACCGCCCCCAATCGTCCCAGTTGTTGGTTACGGTATGTGGATGATACCTTCGTGGTATGGAGCCACGGAAGAACAGAACTAGCAGTGTTCCTAAATCACCTAAACAGCATTCACCCCTAAATCAAATTCACAATGGAAACAGAAGAGGACAATCAACTGGCCTTCCTAGACGAGAGAACTTAAAGCTGGGTCACAGAGTTTACCGCAAAACAACAAACACTGACAAATATCTACACAAGGACACCAACCATCATCCTGGACAAAAAAGAGGTGTCATTAAAAATCTTATAGACAGGGCACACCGAATTTGTGAACCTCATGTTAATATGGTTTTACAAGCAATCGGCTATCGCAGGGAACAAATAGAACAGGTTTCACGACAAAAAAGCAGACCGCCGGCACGAGACAAGGAACCACCTGCGAGAGTCTCCTTCCGACCATACAGTAAAGGCATTACGGATAGAATAGCAACTCCTAATATCAGTAAAGGACAATAGGGACCCCCTGAGCGGTGCCGGCGTATACAGAATACCGTATTCCTATGGTAAAGTATATCTAGGCACCACTAAACGTAGCTTCCAAACACGTATCAAGGAGCATAAAGGAAACTGTCGACTGGGACAAACTGATAAATCAACGGTGGCCGAACACGCACTCCAAGACGGCCACAATGTTCTGTTCGACCAAACTGAAGTCCTATCAACATCCACCCACTAATCAGCCCGAATGTACAGAGAAGCAATTGAAATCTACAAACACAATGATAATTCCGATAGAAAAGAAGAAGGTCTTGCTTTAAACAAGACGTGGTTCCCAATTCTAAAAAACACAGCGCAAAAATCACGTCACTCAAGGGACCCAGAGTACCCCTACCAGACAGCTTAGTCCTCAGTCCGCCGATTGCCTATAAAACCGCACGCCCATCCAGTTGACCGATCAGTTTCAGTCGACCCGCCAAGCCAAGCACTTCGCTCTCGCTGACAACGCCACTGAAGATGGCTACCGCAGATGTAGCCGAAAGCTCTGGATCAAATCCAACCCGACCACGGCTCAACAGCCCGAAAAACCTAAATGACATTGAAATTAGCCGAGAAAGCCTTCATTCTTCAATTATTATTATTATTATCATTATCTGTTAGACACTGCGCATGCCGATGCCCTTCGATTGATGAAAATAAATGAAGATAGGATCTTTTTGCAGTGGCTGAGAGAGCCAGGTCGGCCTGGTCATTCAGCTGGGGTGGACAAGAAATTAGCCATAAAAGAAAAGGCCCGTCTTAGGAACGCCGAAGGACAAAAGCGGCGAGCTAAATATCTTGCTTCCTTAATACCTTTGACACCATGTTACTAACCAGTGCAAGAAAATGCATCTTCAAATTCCGAGATAGGTTTACAAGAAACTTCCTATCCCAACTTGGAGTACAGCCTGATACTAACTCAAATGAGGAAAAGGTTCATAACTCCAAAATTAGTGGCAGCATGAGATAGGAGTCAGTTAAGTATGAGAAATGCAGTTTTTATTATTGAAGCAATCATTGAGGCACTTGGACATAACACTGACGAGTTTCCAATAAGGAAGTCCTCCATTTAAAAAATTCGTACCGAAAAGCGAAAGAAGCACGCAGAAGCTAAAAGGCTTGATTTCCAAAGCGAGGTACCGGACGCGGTGCCTGCGTGCTTCTCGAACAGAAACATAAAGAAATGCTTATTTTTTCTGGCCGCCATCACGTCTACGAATTGGTCTTAAAGGCGTGTTTGAATGAAAGCATCGACCAAGTAACTACAAGCTCTGGCATTCCAATGTTTAAAAAGTATCGCGAGAGCTTTAAAAGTGTGGATCCCGAGAAAATACAGATTTATACTGAGAAGCTATCATACCTGAATATTTCAGAGACTGATAAGCTGCTAGAATTTTATCGACATGAATTGATCAAAGAAGTTGCTAGAGAAGACTATGGAGAATTAATAGAACTTTCAATAACATTCCTTGGCGGAGATGCAGAAAAAATTATAGATTCGAAAGCCAGGCGCCCTGCATCAAGCTCGATGAATGACCAGAGCAATATTTTCATTAAAATTGGTATAACCAAATTCCCAGCTCAAACTTCCTAATAAGGATAAGGCCGCTCTATTAGATATCTGCCTGTTCATCGTGACAAAATAAGTGAAACCGCTAGGCAATGGAGGGTTACGAAAGAATTGAAAAAACCATTTCAAAAGCAGCATTACAAGAGTTCTGCCAAGTTTATGATATTTGACAAATGAGGTATCGGTCTTATCTCCGTTTGACGACCGCGCAGATGAGGAATGTAAAGTAAAAATGGTTGGTAATTTAGCCAAAGAAGGTCCATCAGCCCACGGTAAACGCTACATCCCATCGACAGAAGAGCTTTCTGGCTCACTTTAAGGTAACTGTTAAAATAATCCAGCGTAAGCTGCGATTCTGGCACTAGATAGCACCTTAAGTTGTCTTGTTTCGATAGATCTTATACCTCAGATATAGGTTAGTTACTATACTGTTGTTCGTTGTGCTGACCTGAGGCCAAGCTTAGACGATGCTGATGAGTTGCCAAAAAGCACAAAACATCTTACCATGGTTGACTGTCTGTGGTCGGACGGACAAATCCAATATGTTTAGATGGTTTTTTCATTTCAGGGCAAAATATGGATGACTTTGTTTCAATCCAAGCCTATTAACTTTCAAAGTTTGACCGAAAGTTATCGTTCCCCGATCACAATAATATTTATTTTTTGAGTTGTTCGAGTCAAATAGAAAAAAATTAGAGGATATGCATATCTCAATTCGAACAAAAATTTGTTGTCCTTCGTAGGCTGGGACACCCCAATGGACACGTTTCTCGTTGTATCCGTATCTAGTCTGATAGGTGTGTGTCAATGAGTGATATTTGTAACTTCACCCCGTCCGATCGTTGCCTTCTATTGTTTTGGTTCTTACTAAGTAAAATACGAGTAGAGTGATTACACCGGCAATGTCTGCAGTTTTATTTCTCTAACACCACAAGGCTTCCAATAACTGCCTACACGGACAATAAATGAAAAATACAGAGAACACTTCCAATCCTCTTATGTAACGCAGGCGCTGGAAATGAAAACTCACTTGTTCGGGTAGTTGCTATGGATACAATCACGTTATGTCTCTATGGGTCCATATCATAGCTGCCATATTGAGCTGCGATCCTTTCATCATGCCATGTGCCAGTGAAAGTGAATATCGATCTTTATGTTCCAGCAACGCGATTGTCGTTCTTATAATTTATATTACAAAAATCTCTTGTCTGTTTACGGTTTTGACGGGTCACAGTCAATCTACAAGAATTACTTTCATACATCCATCTCCATCACACATACATATGCTATTGGCCTCTTGCACGGCCGTTTGTGTAAACTCAAAGACATGATTTTTAAGTATAGTCTCACTGCCCTGATAAATTTCTCGTCAACGTACGGGTCTTCCACATGTTGATCTTCGATATAAAATATAGTACAACTACAATGTCGGCAGTCTAACTTAGAAGCATTTTCAGAAAGAGAGTGGAAACAACGGTCCTCTATCACCCAATTCATATGTGTGTGCAAGAACTAGTATCCCTGCGTTATGGATCGGCTTGTACAGAGTGAAATTTCCCTTGAGGAAGTGCCAAAAAACTTGAAAGGAACTATAAGAGCACTGTAAATTGAGTGATGAGACTAATTTTATTTAATTTCTTCATCCAAATATAATTACAATTTTATTTTTTCACCCTCAAAATATACTGAAATAGTCTTCAGCTGGTCGGTTACAGCCATTTGAATGTCTTCGACTATCCCCCTTGATGTGATTTTTCAACTTCGGGAAGAGAAAAAAGTCGCAAAGGCTCAAGTCAGGCGATTAAAGTGGCCGAGGGTCACATAAATATTTCTACTGGCCAAAAACCCGTTTATTTTGATTGCTGTATGACAAGGAGCATTATTGTAAGGCAACACCCAGTTGTTGATCTGATACCGTGATACAAGTCAAATTTAACCCTTCGCCGTTCATTCCGACTGTCAACCGACAATCTGAACGCGAAGATCCCATATTTTGTCGATACTTTCATCGGTTCTTGAAGATGAAGCACTTCCACTTCGTGGTTTATCTTCAATCGACTCTCTCCTTCTGAAAATGCCTTAAACCACCGGAAAACCTTTGCTCTTAGCAAAATACTACTTCCGTATGCCTGCTCAAGTTTAACAAGAATTTCCGTTGCACTGTTCCTAAGTCTGAAGCAAAACCTAATAGAACGCCGTTGCTCGAAATTGATATCGCTCATTTTTAGAACACAAAAAAAATCACTACGGGCAAACAAAAGAGTCGAGTGAGTTCAAACTTGTATTGAAGGCGGATCACATGTTCCCTCTGTCTCCCCGTTAAGCCCGGCGCCTCCAATGTTACCAGATCGAACGCTACATTGCCAGTCTCATTATTTTACAGTTCGGCATTGACACGACGCTAAAACCGCGACATTTTTACCGTCCGTATAAAATGGCATGAATACCATAAACATATTATGAAGCTTAAGATTACCGATGCATAGATTATTGATCAGTTTATCCCATATCTTATTGAATTCTGTGCGCTCAATCAGCAAGTGCTGGATCTCTTCTCTCAACTTGACATTGCGAGCGGAGATGGCACAGAACTTTTTGATCTGCATCTCCAATTTATTTTCTAGTGTATGGACGGTCTTCTCTCCTTTGATAACTCGCTGGTGCATTTGCTCGTCTGTTATTTGCTTCGACGAGATGTCTAGAACCTTCTTCTTCACCATCTTGGTTTGATCATCAATTTCGTTCAGGTGAGCCTTCTGAACCTATGGATTGTATAAACATTAATATACATCAATACTGATAATTACTCGGTGAGGAAATGAAACAATATTACACAATTAAGTGAATTTTGATTGGGTTTCCAAGATTCCAAAGAGAGTTCTCATACAAAGTGGCACAATTACATGGCATATCGATGCGGGTAAAGCCCCAGTGTTTTACGTGTAATCTCATTGGGCCATTTAGACAAAATTTCATCTTTTTGTGTTATATCAGAATAAATAAACATATGGAAGGTAAAAACTACAGTGGCGATAGAAAAAATTACAAACAGCGCATCCGTAATGATGGATCCACACGGTTACGGAAGACAGCAGGCCTTGACAAACGTCTGGCTAAGTTGGGACCATCCACACATTCCAGAGTGTATCATTAGGATTTAGGAACCAAACTATCTTAAATATAATAAACTATTCAGAATATGTCTTGATTGAATCAGTTTATGACACATCAAATAGCGCAAACCTGTCCGCCACCGGGGCACAAGTGTTTTTTTTTTCTTTTACGCCGCAGTAACTAGGCGGATTTTCAGAAACCATAAATCTTCTTCGCTCATGGCACAGTAGTTGAAAATTTCTTTAAACTTGGAGCAGCAAGTACTTTTCAAGTTATACACGAGCCAAGGATTAGCGGACAGACATGCCGACAGACAGACTGACGGAAATGAGTGACAGTTTTTCATGACTTACATGTCATATAACATCCATAAAACATAGTATTTAATTTAGAATGTTTTCGCGATAACAGTACTTCCTCGCCAGTAGGCGTGGAAAGTAGAACGTCCGCTGCTAAAATAGGCTGTCAAGACAAACGTCTATCCATATGCATGGATTTTCTAATAGCTTGTGCTTGCCGTGGTTTGCCATGTAGTTGCACCTGTGTGCCTGCTACTACTATTCGTCATTATTCGTCAGAGCGGTCCGGTGGACCTTTGCTCTTAGTTAAAAGTCTCGTCGGTCTGTTAGTCTGTCAGGTCTGGCTACCCAGATACCAAACATGTTTAAGGGGAAAAGGGAAAGAAGGAAAGAAAGGAAGGAAGAAATAGAGCAAAGAAAAGCATGTGCGTCTTGACAAGAAAACACCAAGCCGCGCATGCGTAGGTGATTGCGAGTCTTATGACCATTTTATACAACCGAATCTTGTTGATCAAACTTAATTTTGAATTTCTGCACAACAAAGAATAAAGCTGCCGAAACGTAATTTGGAATTTTGTTTTCAATATATCAGTATGTTTCTGCCAGGTCAACTCCTTGTCAATGATGACTCCAAGATACCTGACAGATTGCTCCCATGGTATACGAGTTCCATTCACTGATATCTCTGAAGGGGCACCGCGACGTTTTTTAGTACAATGTACTGCCTGCGTTTTCGAAGTATTAATTTTGATCAACCACCGATCCGCCCACTCCAGTACTTCCTCCACCACACTCTGCAGCCTGTCGTGAACCAGGTTACCAGAACAAGACTGGGCTAGCAATGCAGTGTCGTCAGCATAGAGATAGACTCACAGTTGCTGGGGCAAGGGACGCATGTATATAAAGTGAATAAAGGATTGGTCCTAAGACTGAATCGTGAGGAGTGTGCCTGCTATGGCAGTAGCATTTTGCCAGAACTGACAATTCTGCAGGCAATATTCAAACGCAACTTGTCCTCTAATATTGTTCATCATATCGGCGCGGCGCTTTCTCAGGCTAATGGACTTTTACTTGTAGTCTCAACTCAGTGGTAACTTAGCATTTAAAACCGCAGGGCTATTATGCAAAATACCTATAAGACGTAAAAAAACCGACAAGATATCAACTTGCTATCTAGCGTTCATCTGTGGAGGAATGAAACGGCATGACACGCTCAATGATCATGCTGCAAGAAGCAAGTCAGTTCCCCGTCATGCTTTGTTGTTTGCAGAATGCCGAGATAGTCTGTAGAGTATACTCTGAGAAAATGTGTGGTTGAGTAGCAGAGTAGCAAGATCACATCTGGATGTTTTGTGTATTGGACTGTAGATTATTACTGAATATGCTGCCCATGAAATATATACTCAGTTACATTAGAAGTGTTACACCCAGAAAAAACACTATATTTCCTTCCACTTGTTTTTTGGCAACATAATCAATATATTTAAAGCATGCTGTGGCAACCATGTCAACGTTTTATCCGTGTTATTGTTTACCTTTGTTAAAATGTTATCTCTTAGCTTTTGTGAAGAAAGCAGTTTCTGAGAGCTGAGTAGTACAGATATTTTTAGTTATTGTCCTTTCATTTACTAGGTTTAAGCTTAACAAAAGTTGAAGTAAGTATTTTTCTGGGTGTAACACTTCTAATGTCACTGAGTATACTTTGCAGCTTAATGTTTCACGGTTGATTTCCTACCTCAGCTTTACCCGAAACTATAAAACAATGAATCAGCGATATGTCTCAACTAAAACGAGTAAAAAGTCGTTTTACGTCCTACGCCTATCGGCGAGAAACAATTGTAATTGCGAAAAACTTCGAAAAGTATATATTATTTTTTGGATGTGATGTATGCACATCACGAAAAACCATGTCACTTATTTTCGTCGGTCTGTCTACCGCTCGGATTTTGCTAAGATTTTCAAGCATCACTACCATGCCAAGGACGTTGTTTTTAAAAATCGGTCCAGTGGCGGCGAAGCTAGGAGTAAAGACGCAAATGAAATAAAAATCGTTCAAACTTCATTTTTTGATATTTCAACAGTTGGGTTTCACCAGCGGGCGTGCCAGTCTCTAAGATTCTCCTTCTATTGCCGCCGTTGTGCCGCATTGTTGCATTATGCGAGAGGGGTGATGTTGCCAGATAGACGGTATTACCGATAGGGCAGGGAAGAAATTCAAATTATTTATTATCCTGAGAGATGTTACAATGTATGTATAGAATTCGTTGGAGTAAAAAACTAACAAAACAACACAAAATAAATAAGTGTATAAAAAACAAAACAAACACATAAATAAATCATAAAATAACAAAGTCAGAGACGGCATAATAACATTTACCTACAAGAAATTCTGTCAGTTTAGCCTTAAAATTATGTATATCTCTTTAATATGATTTGAAAATTCGTGGAGCCAGTATTTTCGGAGATCTGACGCCAATCTTATACTTGGCAAAGCACACAAGGATCCCGCTTGTCTGGTCGAGTACGATTTAAAATTGTTTAAAAACCTATTTTTGGTAATAAAGCCATTTTGAATAAAAATGACAAGATGCTTAAAAATATTCTTACAAGTATGCCTAGTGATCCGACACTGCCTCTTTACCGAGTCGCAGCAGTTTAATCGGGCTCTTGAAAAAGTTTAATTTCTGCCAGTAAAACATCGTAATTCGTGCATAGTGACATATCCACACCATTAAGATAGAGGTCAGCAGCCTACTGTTAGTACTGTACTAAACCATATAGTCACTTACAAGCATCCCAATAAACATCAAGCCATCGTTTTCAATGCCATCGAGTGTACCAGGATATAAGATTACCTCTTGGAGCTGGGCCCCAAAAAATATAATATTCTGCTCCAGGATTTCAAATAACCGTATATGCATTTATTTCTCCAACAAGCAAATAGTCGACAAATTTCTCAATAATTCTGGAAAAATCGAATTGCAAGGACACATATCTCATATGTCACACATGCACAGCGACTAGTAGCACCTGCAGATAGATTAGTCAGCTCAAATGTCTGCCCCACAATACCGCACGCAAAAATCAAAGAAAGCATACAACGTATAGGCATCAAAACAGTTTCGCCTATTTCGTTTCTGAAGATCGGCGCACCTCTTCCTGAATATAACCATATCTTAAGTTTCCGAAGACAGGTAGATATATATTGAACCGCTAGAATCTTCTGAAATTCCCAATTCACTAGAAATCAGCCACGATGACCTTACGTATCGAGTATTCGTATCTCTTAATAGTCAAAGCTGCTTCAAATGCAAAATGTCAGGTCACATTGCTTCTCGATGTCCAGCGTCCTCCAACGCTTCATCCACAACACAAACTCGTAATGAAACCCCAAGCCCAACTACAACCTCTGCAACTGCTCAGCCAACAAATGAACCATCAGAGACCAGCTCTAGCGCACTTAATTTGGCGCAGGCAGAATCTTCGACGTCAACAGTAACCTCCAAAAATTCGATAAATACAACTAGTGCAAACAACAAAAGAAGCATTTCCGAAATAACAACTCCAACTTCGGAAGTAACACCCTTCACTGATCCCAACTTAATGCCAGAACTTGTTATACCCAGACAAAATCCAAAGAAAAAGCCAAAATCAGACCCTACGCACTCATATATTCTAGACGACAATATGGAATCAGTAACATTGCTCATAAATAGCAGCGATGAGAACTACATCCTCGACTATAATCAGCTGAAAAGCCTTCTTGAGAATACCCATGGGGCAAAAGACACAATAGGCATTGTTCACGAATACACAGCAGAGTCACTCATTGAAATGCTCTTAACAATTTATCCTCATATAAAAGACAAAGCAATAAAAAACCGCGTAACCAGACTGAGGAAAAAACTATAACGTCATTTAGAGAATAAACCTAACGATTCTTATGATGAAACCTCTTCAGTGGATTCCACATTTTAATACGTTATCATTCATTATCCAGTGGAATGTAAACGGATAATTTTGCCACCTGAATATGCTAAAGCTTCTGATATCTTCCAGAAACCCAGATATTATGTGTATACAGGAGACCCATTTCCGAGGAAACCAATCACATACTCCTAAGCATTACCAAGGTTTCTTCAAAAATCGCGCACAAGACACAGCTAGTGGAGGAGTGTCTATTTATGTGAAAAAAGAAATACCGGTGAGGCAGCTCAACCTTAAAAGTAGTTTGGAAGCTCCAAAAAAGATCAACATATGTAATTTGTATATCGCTCCAGACTATCACCGAGAAGCGGCAGAACTGGAAGAACTGTTAGATCAAATTCCATCTCCAAGAATACTGTTAG